TACCAGAGGAGGGGTCCACGCACCCTCCAGCAGCCTGCTCCCACTAACTCCTCTGCTCTCTGGCTCTGCACTGCCCCAGGCCAGGCCCCAGCTCTCGCTCCTCCTCTAACACCCTCAGCTTGTCTACTCCGCCCAGCCTGTTAGCATCCCGGCTGCTGTTGAGAACACGGCTGAAAGGCTGAAACACGCTCCTCCCAGGCCTCTGCGTGCAGGGGCTCTTCTGCTTGCACTTCGCCTCCTCCAGGAGAGCAGCCAGGCTTGCTTCCTGCCTTCTCCCAGGCTCTGCCTAAACGACCTCTCCTCAGAGAAGCCTTTACCAACCTCCCTGACCAGAATGCATCCCCCCGCCGCCCCTGTCATTCTGCCTCTTGGTTTTGTGCCACTTTTTTTCACAGTCCAGTGCTGGAAACCCTAGTGTAGACTTCGTGTATTTGTTTTTTTTAATGTTTATTTATTTTTGAGAGAGAGAGAGAGAGAGAGAGAGAGAGAGAGTGCGAGTTGGGGGAGGGTCAGAGAGAGAGAGAGAGAGAGAGAGAGAGGGAGACACAGAATCCGAAGCAGGCTCCAGCCTCTGAGCTGTCAGCACAGAGCCTGACACGGGGCTCGAACTCACGGACCGCGAGATCATGACCTGAGCCGAAGTCAGATGCTTAGCCGACTGAGCCACCCAGGCACCCCCTTGTCTGTGTATTTGTTGGCCGTCTCCTCCACTCAACTACAGGGTCCATGCAGGCAGCATTTCTGTCTTTGCCCCTTCACCACTGCATCTCCAGCACCCGGGACAGGGCCTGGCCCGTGGTAAGCGTTCAGTAAATATTTGTTGAAAGAATGAATGAATGCATGCATGAGTGGATGAATACCTGGTAGGACCATTGAAGTCCTTTGCAACCCTGTAATTGTGGGCCACGGCCCAGCAGTATAACTTCCCAGACTAGGTGAGATCCCTTTGTACGTGCTTCACAAACCTCATCGCAATGGTGATTATGTAGTTGTTTTTGTTTGATTATCTGTTTGAGTGAGTCTGCCTCTGCAGAGAAGACTTCCTGCAGAATCCCCAGCACCCGCTGGGGGCCTGCCCCCCTGGTGACAGAAAGAAGGAGGAAGGAGGAAAAGGGAAGGAGGGAGAAAGAGATGGAAGAATCAGGGCTGGACTCAAGGGATCCAAGGGACTCAAGGGACTCAAGGGACTCAAGGACCTCTGGGGTCCCTGCCAGTCAGAGACTCCGTAGTTCTGTAAGGACCCAGCATTTGGGAGAGTTGCGCCTTTTGGAGGTCTGTGGAGGGTCTGATGCTCAGGGACAATTGCCTTCTCTCTTGCAGCCTGCCTGCAGCATCGGACCTGTGATGCCTGCGTGTCCTCGGACCTGACCTTCAACTGCAGCTGGTGCCACGTCCTCCAGAGGTTTGTGCCGGGCTGACCCTCTGGTTCCCCAGGAGGCCTTGGAGGAGGGGCAGAGGGTGGCACGGCCCCCTCCCTGCCTCGGGCCTCATTGCCAACATGAGAGCATCTCTAGCCAGCCCATTGTGCCCCGTAGCACAAGAATGTCACAGAAGTGAGTTTCTCCCCGAGGCCCGATCGAGGTGACTGTGTGGCAGGGTCCCCGTGGTGACACTAGGTTTCTGGAAGATTATTCAGAGATTCTATCTACTGTAGCGCCTTCTTACACCCGGAAGGGTTGGTTCATCCTAGCGCAGGGCTTCCCAGAGAACGGTCCACAGATGTGAGGATCCCAGAATCAGCTAGGTCTCGTGTTGAACATGCAGGTTCCTGGAACCTGCCCCAGGCCCCCTGCATCAGGATCTCTGGGAAAGAAGCCCAGAAACCTGCATATTAACACAGTGCCCTCATCTGCAAACAAATGTGAGACCCGCCAGCTCCAAAGACCCATTGCCGTTGGATGAGGGTCCCGTGACCCCCCAAACACCGCCTTAAGATCTTTCTCGGGCCGTAATGGGGTTTCCTGAAAATCAGGGGTGTGGAAGTTGCAGGCATCCGTGGAAAGTTGGGGCAAGCTACAAAGCTGTGTTTGCTTGGTGTTGGAAACAGGGAAAATTCTGGGTGAGATTCAGGCTGAGGGATAAAGAGGGATAAATTTCTTAAATCCCCACTCATCTTCCACTCCTTGTTCTGAAATCATTTCCTCACAGATTAGACTCAGAATTCGAGCCCTGTTCTCCTGTCCAAGATAAATAAACAGCAGGAAGGGAAAACAAAACAAAACAAAACAAAACAAAACGATTTCTTTGGGGACCAGGGCTCTCATGAGAGTGGGAAGCCCTATGAAGCAATCTTGAAAGTTGCAAATTACAGTGTCTCTGAGTTCCAGGCAGCTGGCAAGCATCTGTCAGTGTTTCCTTTGCTCCTTTCAAATAGCCCAGGGCAGAAATAGGAGCTAAAAGGTGGCCTGCCCGGCACAGGACACAGCCCCGGGGGCCAAGGGGAGAGGGGTTTCCGGGTGTCCTTCCTACCTGGAGGTTGGGGTCCTCCTGGAGAATAGCTCTGCAGCACCATCCATCTTATGCACTCTCGAGTTTGAGAGCTACTGTCTCAGTGCCGAGAGATAATCCAGATGACCTCGGATGAGCCCCGGAATCCTGGGGCTGGCTGCCACCACATGACTCAGCGTCCAGCGAGAGCTGAGCCATAAGAACATCAAAATGGGTCAGATGAAAGCAAAACCCTCCCATTGACACATCCCCATTTAACACATACGCCCAAACCCAGAGACCGTGACAGTTTAATGAGGGTTGGTCAGGTTAGGGGAGGGCAAGGCCTTGGGTGTGGACACCGCTTTTGCTGTGGTTATGTCAGCTATAGGACACAGAAGTTCCATCAGAGAGCAATCAAGGCTGACGCGGTGCTGAAATCCTGTCCCCAGATGCCCATGGGTCTGGGCTCACCCCAGCGTGGGCCCCTCCTTGCCAGCTCTCTGGAGCCTCAGCACCAACTGAGAGCTGACTCCAGGTCTCTACAGAGCCAGAGGGCAGGGCTGGTGCAGAGGGGCCAGCCCCATGGACTCTCCCACCAACAGCTGCTTGCAGTCACCGTGTGGGTTCCCAGCTTCCCCTTCCTCGCCACCCACTCAGCCTTCTGCAGCCTCCCAGAGCTTCCCCTCCTTGCCCTGGGGCTGGATCTGGTTTAGATCATTTCATTTACCAAGGCCAGTGTCTTCCTTTCAGTCCACATTGCCCCTCCCCCGCCCCAAGGGCCCACTCTGGAGTCTAAAATGACTTTAACTGCAGGATTTGGCCCGGGAGAATGAGCAGTCATAATCCTTGCTTTACAGTGTCCTTGTGAGGGTCCCATGAAATACTACAGGAGCAGCATATGGCCGCGGCGGCACTTGGCATTCAGGAGGCACCCAATAGTGGCCATGCCTGATGTCCTTCTTCTCTGCATCTGGGTTGGTTGGCTCGGAGCTTAGAACGTGGTGCTCCTAGACCTATGTCAAAGGCTCAGTGCTTGGAAGAATCAATTAGTTTGGCTTAAAAGAAACTTTAGTTGCCAGCCCCCAATAGACCGCCTAGTCCTCAATGTCCCAAAGTAGTGGGCACAGAGGACCTGGGAGGGGTAGTGGGGGGGCTCAGTTCAGCTGTCCCTGCTGCAGGAGGGGCAGCTCGGAGCCCCAGGAGGCATCTTCAGAAGGAAAAACTGACCTCCGCCTCACTGGGTCCCTGGCAGATGGGTGGGCGTTTGCTAGTGGAGAAAATTAACTAGCGATGAATTCTTCCTCAGCACTGGTGGCTCATGATATGATTCTTCCCGTGCAGATGTTCCAGAGCTTGAGCAGGGCTTGGTGGATTCCCCTGGCACCAGAGTGAAGAATTTCCATTTGAGCACGGTGCCATGGAGAACATTTTCTGGTTCATCTGCATACGCCCATCCCTTCCCTAGGGAAGCACTTGGCACCTTCCAGCCCAGCTGAGCTGCACAGTGTCCTCTCCCGGGACACTGGTCAGCTGGTTTTCGATCTCTCCTAGCTGCTGGCACGACCCTCCTTTCTGCCCTTTAGTGATCACACAGGAGGTATTGGCTAAATGTGCTGAAGTCCACCTTCAGCCCAGCTTCTCCTTGCCAAGTTTAGGCCCCTCCACAAAGAAAAAGGATTGTCTGTGAATGAGTGAAACTCTCCCCAGAAGACGTTGCTGTGAATTCCCTGAACTCTCAGCAATTTCATGGCCGCCTAGAGTCAAGGGGATCTTAGAGCTCATTTGAGGTCATACAATTCATCTAGCTCCCTATATGCACACATCTGGGCAGATGTGACCTTGGTCCTGGGGAGCTGGGTCAGGAGGAGAGTGGAGATGCCAGACACCTGCCCTTCCTTTTGGAGGAGTAGTTGGGGAAGAAGGGTCTGACTCCTGATCCCACAGCTGCCAGGTGCCAAGGAGGGCACCTGCCCGGTGGTCCGGATCACCGCAGCCCTGGGACGTTAGCCCCCTCCGCCCCGTCATCGTAGAGCTGCTACTGAACAGGAGAGAGTGAAGAGGAGGGCTTCTCTGGCAACCCCATCACACTTCTTACCTTCTGGTCCCCCGCAGGTGCTCCAGTGGTTTTGACCGCTACCGCCAGGAGTGGCTGGCCTACGGCTGTGCCCAGGAGGTGAGAGGCTTAAGTGAGCCAGGTTGTGGGGAGGGGCAGGGCTGCCAGCAGACCCGTTCCCCACCCCCCCCCCCCCCATAGCTCTTTGCAAGCCGTCTTGGTTTCTTGGCAAAGAAATTCTCCCCTCCATCTGGGACTTGTCTCTCAGACTGCTCTGAGCCAGTTAGACCAGACTTGGGAGATTTTAGAGGGTTCTGCGGGTCCCTGAGAAAAGCCCTTCTGGAAACTTGGCCTTGAGTGGGCAGCTCTCCGGGAGCTGTTTTGGTGCTTGCAGAGGGTATGCTGGGCATGGTGTTGGCCACAGCTGGATCGTCTGGGAGGCTGGTGACATTCTCCGAGCAGCTGCCCTGCCTCCAGCCCTCAGGCTCTTCAGGGAGTGAAGAGGAGTGTTCTGGGAGTGAGGAGGGGATTTCCTATTTGGAATCCCATACAGGTTCCTTCTCACTGCTCAAGTTTTCCGGAACGCACTACGGCTTTGATTCTGGGCGGGGAGCATCCTGTTCTTACACCTTCCACCCACACAGACAGATCCATTCATCCGTGCATCCTTTTCCTCTTCCTTCCTCTCTCCATCCCGTCCTGCAGTATGAGCACACTGTGTGCGCCCAGCACTTCCCTGCAAGTGCCTATACCTGCTCGGATTGAAGCCCAACAGCTCCAGGAGCTGGGGGCCGGTGCCCCCTACTGCTCAGAGCAGAAAACTGAGGCATAGAGCGATGTAATGATTTGACCTGCCTCTCACAACTGGTGGGATAGTGAAAGTGCAAGGCCCCACATTTAGAAAAGAATTTTTTTTTAATGTTCATTTATTTTTGAGAGAGACAGAGTGCGAGTGGGGAGGGGCAGAGAGAGAGAGAGAGAGGGAGAAAGAGACAGAATCCGAAGCAGGCTCCAGGAGGCTCCGAGCTGTCAGCAGAGCGCAGTGCAGAGCTCCAACCCACGGACTGCGAGATCATGACCTGAGCCGAAGTCAGACGCTCAACCGACTGAGCCACCCAGGCACCCCAACAAGGCCCCACATTTAAACATTAAACTTGAGAGCCTGGTCATGATGGCTGGTCATGATCACCATGAGGTCTGTGAGTTGAGCCCAGCAAATATGTGCTTGACAGCTCAGACCTGGAGCCTGCTTAGTTCCACGTGTCTCCCCTCTCTCTCTGCCCCTCCCCCACTCACGCTCTGTCTCTCTCTGTCTCAGAAATAAATAAACATTTAAAAAAAATTTTTTTTAAATAAACATAAACCCCCCAGACCCCACGGCTGTGTGCTCACCACCACCTATTTTATTAGTAAGCCTGGATGAGCTTTCTAAGGCCTTAAAAAAAAATCTTGTCTAGCAGCCCACTTCTGACACTGGCCGTGCTGAATGTACAGATTTGCTTTATTTGTTTAAGACTGGCATCTCAGCTCCTTCCTTGAGGAAGGATTCGAAGCAGCGGACAGATAAATTGCCCTGGGAGATAAGACGTTTTCAGGATAAAGTGGGAGGCTTAAATGCACTCAGGGCTCAGCTTTGGTTAGTTTACATGCTTGAACCAAGCACGGGAGTCTTAAGTTTTCTGGCCGCTGAGGGATGAAGGGGCCCCCTCCGTCCTCCCGCTCGAGGGCTCTTTTCTGCGTAGCACGCTGGCCGGTGAGGTCCAGGGTGGTGCTGGGTCTTTCTTGCAGGCGGAGGGCAGGACGTGTGAGGACTTCCAGGACGAGGGCCGCTACTCGTCCTCCCCCAACGGCTCCTTCAGCCCCTTGGACGGGGACCTCACCACCACCTCCTCCTCCCTCTTCATCGACAGCCTCACCACCGAAGGTAAGGCCTGAGCCCCAGCGGCGAAAGAAGCCATGGGAAAGGACTACCACCCTGGGATGGGGCATCACAATTATTCCTGTCAGGGATTAGCTCAGGGAATAAGAATCGCCCTGACTTTCACAGATGAGGGACCTAAGTCTCAGAGAGCTGGGCTCGCGTGCTGGGCATAGGCAGAGCCAGGTTTCAAACAAGCGGACTCCGCGCCCGGACTCCAACTGCTGTGCTGGCCCACATCGGGACTGTGGGATGGAAGCCGCTGCGGCGAGGGGAAAATTGTCGTCCCGGCTCAGGGCCGGGTATTTTATATATAGTCCACCTCAGTTCATCTCAGTAGCACTCCTCACAGAAAGCGTGAGGTCTTATCAGCCCCGCAGCAGGTGTGAACTCAGTCCACGCACTCAGACGTGAGAGAAAGATGGCCTCATTTTTCTACCGTGGTGTTTCTGGCTCTGAACCCTTGCTCGGGGGGAGTGGTGGATCTCCGCTGTTCTGGGGCTTGGCTTCCTGCTCCTGTGACCTTGTGTGGACAGAGGGTCAGAGTGGGGGCAGCCGTGTCCCAGAGGATGGCTGGTGATCCGTGCCTGCCTCTTCAGGATCTGGCTGTCCCCGGGGACTTCTGCCATCCTAAGGCCTGAGGGTCTTGCACCTGCCAGAGGTACCACACAGCATCCGGAGAAGCCTTGTGCAAGCCCCTCCGGGATCCTTTGGCTCCCACTGAAAAATTCCTGTCCCATCTTTCGGTACATCACATCTAGGTTTTAGCCCTTTTTCCTTAGGCTCAGAATGAACGATGTGGGCTCTTACCACCTCCCCGGAGCCACATAAAGAGACAAATGGAAAAGAGGAAAGGAGAAAAGAAAAAGCCAAATGTTTGAAAGCATTATTCAGCCACAATCCCATTTTGTGTGTGTGGAAAAGGGCCCGTAGGGGGCAAAGTCGGTTACTCGGGGTTGCGTGAAAGGTAAGTGGCAGAACGGTCTTTCCCTGGTGCCCCCTGCCTTTCTAACTGCAGCCTAGTGAACTGGAGAGCCAGATCCCATGGATCCGGCCAGAGGGAACCCTAGAGGAAAGGGGAGAAATGACAGGTGGTCTAACATTTTGAGGGGCCTAACCATGGGCCAGGTAGGGTGCTAACGCTGTGCAGACATTAACACTCACTTGGTCCTCCTAACAATCCTGCGCGTTAATGATGTCAGATCCCCATGTTATAGAACAAACACGAAGGTTCAGGGAGGTCAGTGACTTGCCCAGGGTCACACGACCAGGAAGAGGTGGTCAGGTCTCATTCGGCTCAAAAGCAGCAATCTTGTCCCTCGACTGCTTTCCTTGGTGCTGGAAAAGAATTTTTTAAAGGTCTTTGTGGATTCGGGGGACTGGAGAAATACAGCAAAGGGTGAACAAGCAAGGCACATTGGGTAGCTTCCATTAATCTAAAATTGCCCAGAGGGAGCTGGGTAAGGCTGGGTATTGAGAGCAACTCCTGGCTGCTAAGGGGGAGACAGGGGTTAAGTGTATTCAATGAAAAAAGAAAAGGAAGAGATGGGTTGCCCTCAGGAGTTTGTAATTCAGTCCAGGAGCTGGAGTCTATCTTGGGGTACAAGGACATGTGAACGAAGGGGATACAGCCAAAGGGACTCTCCTGGGCAGCACAGAGCCAGAGAGCAGAGGAGTTAGTGGGAGCAGGCTGCTGGAGGGTGCGTGGACCCCTCTGGCACCAGCCAGGCACAGGAGTAGAGAGG